TGTATATGCTTTTTATCTACAAAATATGTTGGGTAGAACATGGGTAGAGGAAATAGTTGATGTGTGTTAGAAAGGTGAGAGGCCTCGATTTTGTTGTTGTTGTTGTTGTTGTTGTTGTAGTCATTGAGCAGAGTATGGATGACAACCATGGACTATTCTAGACAGTCTATGGAACCCTAGCAGGCCCGCAACCTGTAGGTGTAATGAACTATATGTTCATTTGTTGTACTCTAAAACCCATTGACATGTATTGCAGGAGAGAAAACCTGTAAATAATATTGTCGATAAATGAGAGCTATGGACTTAGCACATGTTGAATAAACTTTGGCAACTATGGAATTAGTGCCCGTTGTATAAACCCTAGTTACGAGGTGACTTTGTGTCTATTCCTTAGGATGAATCCTTAGGAAGGAGTGATAGTTGATTCTTAGGGTAAAACCTTAAGAAATAAATAAAATAATGGGGTTTGGGGTAGTTGGGTTGATTGATTGATGTTTAAACATAATAAATTTATGTATTGTGGGTTGAAAACCCTATATGCTCACCAGGCTTCCAAGCCTGGCCCACTCAGCTTTTTATGATTACAAGTAGTGGACCCCGAGCATAGTCGGATGATGATGATGAGTGATTTTGGATTATATGCCATTAGTTATAAATAACCGTTGTAAGGCTTATAATGTCTTGTTTATGCTTTTGATCTGTATCGGAACATGACATCCCGAGGTTTTGTTATGAAATAAAAATATATATTTCTTAAAGCAAGGTTTTGATAAAATTTTATCATGTTTGACTTTGGGAACAAATTCTGCAACACTTTTAATGAAATGATTACTCTGATTTTATTTTAAAAAGCATAAACGAAATCGGTCTTTTCTGGCCTATAAATTAGGGGATGTGACATATTCTGACCCTAGAGGTCATATCAAATTTAGTCCGACTACGATGAGTTTGTTACGTGGTTCAGAGAACCAAGTTCGATGTAGTAGTTGACTTAAGCCGAATTGAAGTAAAGGATGTTAGCAGCTCAAGATCGTCAAAAGAGCTATGCTGACAAGAAAAGACAACCGATATCATTCGAAGTTGGAGATTCGGTTTTACTTAAAGTCTCGCCATGGAAGGGACTTATAAGATTTGGTAGAAGGGGAAAGTTGAGTCCATGATTTATTAGACCATTTAAAGCTCTTCATAGGATCGGGAATCAAGCTTACAAGCTAGAATTACTGGAGGAACTGGAGGGTATTCATAACACCTTTTTTCTGTGTTATTTAAGGAAGTCCATGGGAGAGTGAGATGGTCCATTTAGTGCTTGTGCATTGGAAACATACGAATGGGCCAAATCTCACCTGGGGAAAAACGGAGAGTGACATGATGAGTCGCTACCCGTATTTGTTTGATGATGTGCGATTCCGGGGACGAAATTGTTCTAAGGGGGAGAGAATTGTAATGCCCATGTTTCTAGGCTAGGCATTAATATTGACATGATAGTCTAGGTTAACCTTTGTGACTCTTTTTGGAGAAATGAAAAGGAATTATGTGAATATTATGTGTTTTATGTGTTTTATGCTTAATTATTAGGGTTTAATTAATTAAGACTAAAAATGAGCGTCGAAAATAAATATTAGATAAAGCCGATATTTATTAAGAAAGTTGTAGTGGTCATGACAAGGATTACGGATATATAAAGAATGCCGAAATCCGAGTTATAACAAAGAAGTTATGACCTGTCGAAGTTTCACGACAAACCGACACGGTGCCAAATGTTGTAAAAAGTGAGTTTTTGATAAAATACTTTTTAGCCTTAGTGATCTAAAAAAAACTTGTAGTGTACGTTAAACCGAGAGTAGGTATAAAAAGAACGCCCAAATCTGACTTTGTATGAGGAAGTTATGATTTTTCGAAGTTTCAGCTTAGCAGTAGACAGCTGAAAACTCGAATTTTAGATCGAGTGACTTTTATCCGACACCACCTAAGAATCGAAGGTCTCGTCATTTGTAGCACGACGCTAAAAAGACAGACGAAAATGGACGTCAGATGAAGAAGTTATGAATTTTTAACAGATCTCGTGTCCCGGTCTGTTAAAAATAATAATACAAAATTTAAAGTCAAAATTAGCCGATGAAGTATAAACGGAAGTTATAGAGCGTAATTTTAGTTACGCGTGCATATAAAGAACGTCAAAAATGGAGCTCGTATGCGAAAGTTATGGATTTTAGAAGTTTTGGCGCGAAAACCGAGATATTTGGCATAGGTGGCTTCGACCACGTCACCTTCGCTTAGAAGGTGCCACATGTACGAAGTTGGTGAGTCATGCGAGCCACGTGTCCGAAATGCTGCTGAGTAATCTGAACCGGAGAGCTGATCCGAAGAGGTCCAGTGAGAAGGCGACACGTACCCTCTTCCTCGTTTCCGAACCCTCGCAACAAGCCTCAAACCCCCCTACTTCGGACCTAGACCTCGGTCCAGTAAGAAGCCGCCAGCAAGCCTTCGCATGCGCAGCCAAGTGCGAGCCCATATGCTGCGAGCCCTCGGATTGCACCATCTAGAGCCTTCTCAGCCGTTGGATCAGGAGGCTCACCCCTATAAATAGGAGGGCGCGAGACCTCCCGGGTATATTTTGAAAAAATGTCACTTTTAGCCCCTTTCTTCATATTTCCTTCATTTTAATATTCCCCCAAAGCCCCGGTATCGATTATAAGCACCGGAATATGCCACGAAGTGTCCGAGAAGCAAGGAAAATTTATCTTTTTGATTTTGAAAGCCGACCATTCGTACAGCCCGATTTCTCAATAAAACTCCCGGTTTTATTAGTAATGAACGTTTTAGGAAACAAATTGTTGCCCGATTATCATCAAATCAAGTGAGTGTATAGTCACTTTCATCTTACACATAGATATGAAGTATTTTATATAAAATACGTGATATGTGTATATATGTTGTTTGTTTATTTGAGATGGATGTTGAATGAATGTTTTATACATGTTTAAAATGATTTAAAATGTATATATATTTTATCTTCAAATATTTTGGGTAAAACATGGGTAGATAAAGTTTGAGGGATAAAAGTACAGTATTGATGTATGTTGGTAGCTACAAATTTAGTACAGTATAGATGTACGTTGGTAGGTACGGATTTAGTATGTTGGCAGCTATGGACTTAGTGCCTATTGTATAAACCTTGGCGACTATGGGACGTAGTGCCTATTGTACAAACCTTGGTGACTATGAGATGTAGTGCCTATTGTATAAACCCTGGCGACTATGAGACGTAGTGCCTACTGTATAAACCCTGGCAACTATGAGACGTAGTGCCTATTGTATAAACCCTGGCGACTATGAGACGTAGTGCCTATTGTATAAACCTTTCCGATTATGAGACGTAGTGCCTATTGTATAAACCCCGGTGACTATGTGACGTAGTGCCTGTTGTATGAACCTTGGGCAGCGATGGACTTTGTGCCTATTCCTTAGGATGAATCCTTAGGAATGAGTGAGATTTGATTCTTAGGGTAAATCCTTAAGAAATAAATAAGATAATGGGGATTGGGTGATTGGGTTGATTGTTTGATGTTTAAGCATAATAAATTATTTATTGTGGCTTGAAAACCATATATGCTCACTAGGCTCCCAAGCCTGACCCACTCGGTTTGTTTGTATCACAGGTATCGATACGAAGTTACTTTACACTGAGAGATTAAAAGAGATGTAGATCACTAGTGTAAGTTCTGTTTATGCTTATGTTTCTGTATTGACGATGACATCCCAATGGTTTAAGTGAATAAAATACATTTCTTTAGAAATGATTTGATAATATAATTATCATGTTTTTATGGGAACAAATTCCGCAACACCTTTTAAAAGGATTACTCTGATTTTATTTTAAAAAGCATAGACGAAATCGGTCTTTTCTGGCCGAGAAATTAGGGGATGTCACATTCGACAATAATGATTTGGTATGAGCGGTCTGTTAGGGAGCCAGACCATCTCGGAACTTCAAACTTCAGGTTGAGTAAGGTGATCTGAATGCGTGGAATCCGTCTATCTTCGGGTTTTAAAAAGCCTGTTAGGATCAATTTTGATTTCCATGGAAAGGTTGGGGTTATGTTTGTAGTTATGACCATGTAGTTCAAGTTGTCTGTCGTGTAAGTAATGATAAGGCACGATTTTGAGGACGAAATTAAATTTAAGTGGGGGAGAGTTGTAACATCTCATTTAAAATACAATAATTAATAATAGACCCAGAAACCTGGGAAGTGATTTTTATTATTATTTTATATCGTTATAGTCGAAAAATCAAATAATATTTAACGGGGTATTGGCTGCGGATGGATAAATTTAAGTGGGGGAGAGGTGTAATTTCGGTGTTTATTTTGCAAAGGATTTAGAAACCAGGGGGTGTTTGGTATCATTTGGATTTAATATGAAAGGATTTTGGATGGATGGCTTAAAAGGATAAATTATGTACCTAAGTTGAAAAGAAATTGTCATGGAGGGGCTATATGGTAACCTTTGGGACTTGAATTGTTATAAATTTTGGATGCTGGGGGCTGTTTTATAAACTGTAGCCTTAATTTGAAAAAGATTTCATGGGGAGGGGCCATATATGTAAAATGTTTACAGGTTTGCATGGAGCGGGACTTAAACCCGACTCCCTTCCCCGTCGCCTGTTAGCCCATATATATATATATATATATATATATATATATATATATATATATACATATATATGTGTGTGTGTGTATGTATGTATGTATATATATATATATATATATATATATATATATATATATATATATATATATTCTTTATAACCGCATGAAACCCCCTAACCCTAAATCGAGTGCCAGCCACCACCCTCTCTATCCTCCTTCTCCAGCCGCCGCCATCTAAAGCATCATCGGACTTCGGGGTCGCCGGAAGAAACCAACAAGACCGTTGCTGTATCGCGTAGGACCGATTGATGGTGTTGGTCGAGCCTCGTCACTACCACTGCCGCTATCCGACTATTTCCCCCGAGTTGCAGCTGGCATCTCCATTCCTACGACCTCCGGTCTTCCCCACCACCTCCTTCCATGGATGTCGACGAGCTTACTCCCATGGCTTTTGATTACAAATCTGCTGATGGGGACTTGAGTAATTGTTTCTTCGTCGCCATTGGTGATGATGTACTTAGTGATTTGAACCACCTTTTCCTCTTCTCTCTGTTCTGTTTGCTGATACGTCACCGCTCGAGCAGCTGCCCTCCGCCACTTGTTCCTTTGCTGTTGTATTAACGTGGCCACCGTCGCTGCCACGTGGCTGTTCCACTGTGATCGGTGTTCTCTGCCGCTGTTAGTGCGGGTGTGTGTGTGTGTGTGTTGCAGTCTTGTTCTGCTAACTTGAGGGTGTCTCGGATTGCTGCTGCCGGAAAAGCAAGGAAAACCACCATGGTTGCCGGCCACGGTGGTTGCCACCATATACCACCACTGGCCACCACGAGGTGGTTGTGTGTGTGTGTGTTTATTAGTGAGTGTGTGGGTGTGTGTGTTTATTAGTGTGTGTGTGTGTTCTTGGATGGTATTGTAATTTGTAACAAAAAGATGAAATAACGAGAAGAAAGTCAAAACCACCACCGTGAGCTGGTGGCTGCCGCCACCGGCCGCCTTGTCGGGTGGCGGTGTGCCTTGTTTGGTTTTGTGACTCGTTTGGACAAAGGGACTACTAAACCCTAATGGGCCCAAAGAAACCCTATTGGGCCCAATGATACCTTAATGGGCCCAATGAATCCCTAATGGATCAAAAATCCCAACCATGTGACTAATGGGCTAGTATTAGGGTTTGGAAAACCCTAATTGCGTAAAACCCTAATTTTGGGGAAATGTCGGGACCTGCACTTGAGCTAATTATTAAACTTAAAATATTAAATTATAATCATTGGCGAATTAACCTAAGGCAATAATGGATTTAATGAATTAAGTCCTTAATGGATTAAGTCCTCAATGGGTTATGTAGGAACACTTAACCCTAATTATCATTTCATGTGAAACCCTAACTTCACTTGGGCCTTGAGTTGGGCCTTTATATTGGGCTTTGGCGATTGGAATATTGATGGGCTATCATAGAACAAGTTAATGAAACAAAATCATTAGATGGACATTAGGATAAGGCCCATGTGAGAGGCTTGGGCCCAAGTTGGAAAATTGGACCATAATTAGGCCTTTATGATTCTGTTATATTGGACTATGGGAATACCAAGAGTTGGATGAGAGTAAATGAATGGGCCTTAAGGAAAGACCATGTAGAGGTTTGGGCCGAATTTGGAAAATTGGGCCATAAGTTGGGCTTTGGCCCATTACTTGACTTTTGGGCCTTTGGTGTGTGTGTGTTGGACCTTGGGCTTGGAACCCAATTATTAATTGGGTATTGTTTGATGTTGACAGTTCGGGAAGCTGTCAACCAGCAGCTGGAGTTTTCTCAACGGGACTTCAGCAGTGCCATGTGAGTTCTCCTCACTATATCAACAGGGTCTAAGGCACCAATGTCGGCCCTTATAGGATTTGTATATGGGTTTATTGCATGATATACATATTGATTTACATCCTGGTATTTAGGAAGGTGATATGCTTAGTGACGTGGTAGGTCGGTATCCTGGTTATAGGATGTTGTTATGATAGTTGATCTGTTAGATCGGTATCCTAATTATAGAATGGTTGTTATGTTATTGATTGCTTAGATCTGTTTTCTGATTATAGGAAGGTTGCTATGTTATTGATTGCTTAGATCTGTATCCTGGTTATAGGATGTTGTTATGATAGTTGATCTATTAGATCGGTATCCTGATTATAGGATGTTTGCTATGTTATTGATCGGTTAGATCTGTATCCTGGTTATAGGATGTTGTTATGGTTATTGATCTGTTGGATAGGTTGACTGTTATAGATCCTAGCATTTGATATTTATGTGCACATGTTTGTTTGATTTGGGGTTGGGTTGTGGTGGTCCTGCTTTGTGTTGAAGGCCAACATACCAAGGGAGGCACGGATAAACTGAAGGCACTGCAAAAGGATTCAGTCATACCGAAGGCCCAACGAGCGGTCCGGATAGGCTCTAGGCCCTGCGAGGCGGTCCAGACGTGTCGAAGGCTAGTAGAGCGGTCCAGATACACTGAAGGCCTGCGACGTGGTCCAGTCAGGCTGACAGTTCATTAAGCATGTTGTTCTGTATTTGTTATATGATATGCTTATATTTGTATGGCGTTAGTATTTTGGGGGAACTCACTAAGCTTTGTGCTTACGATTTATGTTTATTGGTTCAGGTACTTTTGATGATCGCGCGAAGGCAACGGCGTGATCGTGCACCTCCTAATATTTTCATGATTGATTCTGGGGATACTCTGATGGTCAAACTATTTTGAAAACAAATTGTAATAACTTAATGGTTTTAAATGTTTTAAAAAGTTCAAATTGGCTTGAATTTTGTTGGTGTTACACGCCATGCACTCGTTCTACGCAACTCCTCTAGGTTGGTGACACATGTCAAAATTTGGGTGTCCCATGTCGACCTTCTAGAACATAGGCGCATCGCGCTACCTCCCCTGCGCGCCGTACACTCTGAGTTCGAATTTCAAAACTTCTAAAAATCGTATCTCTCTTGACGGGTACTACAACTTTCATTTAGACTTTGTCAGCTAATTCTCGCTTTATTTTTAAAGTTATAGTTTTAATAGACATGAACTATTAAAGTCTGTATAAAAATCACAACTCTTTCATCGAATTTCGTTCTCGACCGTCTTTATATCGACGTAATCCTATTCACGAGATCTTCAACTCTCGTTTAGATTGTTTTGGCTAAAACTCAACCGATTTTATTTTTTTGATTTCTGTGTTGATACAACTGCGCCAAAACTTTGAAAAATCATAACTTCCTCATATGAAGTTAGATTTAGGCATTTTCTATATGCACGCTCTCGCTTTTATGATTAATACGACTTTCATTTAGATTAATTAGATTAATAAACAACCTATCTCCGATCCACTATTTACAATGCACTCTGTTGTATAGGTTTGAACGCGAAACTTCAAAGAAACATAACTTATTCAGACGAATTCGGATTCAAGCGTTGCTTATATCCCTGAAATAATCATCGTGACTACTACAACTTTCCTCAAAACTATTTACCTGAAATAGTCTTTATTTTTAGACGTTTATTTGATGAAATTTGTTAATTTTATGATAATAATGTTTTAGTCAAATAAACATGTACACAATAAAATTTTAATTTATATAATTTATAATTCCTTAAAATTTCTAGCTCGCACTTGCAGGCATTACATAACTATTCTTATTACTAGTATTTAGGTCGTATTAAGTTAGATTCAATCTTTAATGATCTCATGTGACATCCCCATTTTCACGTCAAATTTAAAACTTTTTCTTATGCTTATTTAAATTCGGAGTATTCATTAATTTGCAGAATTTGTTCCCAAAACATAATATTTGAATATTTCCAAATAAACATTTTTCATTATATAAAAACTTTGGGATATCATCGTCAATACGGATACATAAGCATAAACGTGTTTAAATAGGCCTTACATAAATTTATATTATGGCCTAACAACTTCCTCAAATGACTCATCAACCATGTGGGTTCATACCGCTACCTGTGATACAAAGAAACTGAGTAGGTCAGGATTGGGGGTTTGGTGAGCACACAGGGTTTTCAACCTACAATAATTAAGTTCTTTAATTATATAATTCAGATCAAAAAATTCACCCCATTATCCATTCCCGTTATTCTCACATACTGATCCACAAATACTGATCTCGTGGGACTTATCCTAAGGATCATCAACAACAACGGGTAGACATTCGTGCTTCAGGGATTCCTATAGCAATATGTGTCAATAAGGCAACTAGGGGGGATAGAGTACATCAAATGAGCATATAGTTCGTTAACACCTACAGGTTGTTAGCCTGCCTAGGTTTCCATTAGACTGTCTAGAATAGTCTGTGGTCGTCATCTATACTCTTCTAGATGTCTGGTTCATTAATATGTAGGACCTCTCATCATTTTCATCACCCATTACTACCCAATTTATTTTATATATGAAAATACATATACGATTAAATCACGTAAAAATAATATAATTTATATAACACAGATATCAAGTAATATAGATCAATGAGTATAATGACTTGGAATCACTGATAAATCTTATTTAAAGATTCATAACAACAGCTATGAATATAAATATAAATTACACCAAAAATAATAATGCGTGTAATTTAACTTATAGATATTTCCTGACAAAAGTCTGAAAATGGCACTGACAGGACTCCGACCTGATAGCTACTAATGTTGGGCACTCAGGTAACTCAGGGATTCGCAGAAATACCCTAAATACTAAGAAAAATTAGGCTAGAATCGAAAGAAACTTGAAAAAGATATTGGAGTTTGATTTTGTGTAGAGCGTATACATATAACAACCCATATATAGATTTTCAAAGAGGGCACTGCTCCCAGGAACACCACGCATGGTGATGTGGCCCATTCTGCTTGCAACTTACGGTAGGAATTGGTTGCACATGCATGGCCCCTTCTAGAAGATCTTGCGCGTCGTGCACCAGGCACACAAACTTTTTCCGATTTTCAATAGTTCGTATCTTCTTCATACGAGCTTCATTTTTTATGTTCTTTATATCCACGTGTAGCTATCGACGAGATTTACAACTTTCATTCAGACGCCGTCAGCTAATTCTCATTTCATTTATTATTTATTATTTTAGAAGATTTAGACCGCTAATCTCCATTTAAAATTCATATATTTTTCATAAAAAAACCATTTTCAACTGTCTTTATATCGACGAAACCGTATTAACAAGATCTTTGACTCCCGTTTAGAATGTTTTGGCTGAAATTAACCAATCTAAAAATTGGATTCCTGTGTTAACACAGTTGCGCTAGAATTTCGATAAATCATAACTTCCTGATATGAAGTCAGATTTAGACATTCTCTATATCTCCGGAATCATCATCACGACTACTTCAACTTTCATCAAGGTATATTATCCTAATTAATATATGTTTTAGCATTATTTATTAAGTTTTCGCCTAATATACACATAATATAAGCACATAAATCATATAGATTCAAACAATTTCCTTTTATTTATTTAACAAATGATTACAATTGTTGACCAATGTCGGTTACATATTCTAATAATGCCTAGTGAGAAACGTGGGCATTAAAATTATCTCCCCTTATGATGATTCTGTCCTGGAAACATGCATTAGCAAATAGATGTGGATAGAGACTCCTCATTTCACTTTTTGTCTCCCAGCTGTGGTTCGACCTTGTCGTATGTTTCCATCGCACAATCACTAATTCGACCGTATTACATCATAAAATTTTCATCTTTCAGTATTCAAGCTCTTCAGTAAACCTCTTGTTTTCATCGATTCTCAATTCCAAAA